TCGCTGATGGACGTCTCAGCAGTCAGCAGTTGTGGCGTTGGACAGGTGATCGTTACATTGTGCCCGCAAGATGATTCGTAAACGCCAGTAGTAGAAAGATTCTCGTTTCTTCGCGTCTTCAACTCTTAGGGCCCATCGATCACATCCACAAACGAGGACGGCGGCTAGCAGAACTCAGAACTTCCTCCTCAACCTAGTCACCCGTCCGTTGTATTCACAACGGCACGCAGAGTTGCCATTGCTTCCGCTGCCGGAGCTGAAATTTCAGCATCAGACTGCCCACTGAAAAGGGTGGAGATGCCAAGGTATTTGAGGGCGGCGACATCTTCAAGTAGTACACAGGCGGATGAATTTTTTTCTCTTGTTTCGATATCTGTTTGGAGCACAACTTCATTTTTCATATGGTGATGAGTAGTCCCACTGTTGCAGAAGATGCAGGAGCTATAAAATCCGTCTTCATTGTTGTTCGCACGATCCAATCAGTGCGAAGTAGAATAGAACGAGATATCGAGCTCCAGAAACAATGTCAAACAGTCCGTCAGTTCAAGGCCCAGACTTTTGCTCGTGTCCTGCGGTAGTATGACTTAATTAGGATCTCAAGTTTCGCCGTCAAGGGTGTCCGATGAACAGGATCGAACTCTGCCAAGAGTTTACCAAGCAGGCTCTGGTGGGCCACATGAAATGATAGCGTGTTCCATCTTGCGACATAACGCGAAGAACTAATCGACGACCATCTTCCAGAGCAGAAGCTAACCTGATTTGGTGTAGTGCGTTCGGGTTGTCTGTAACCTTCGAAACAGTAATAAGGCGAGGATTGTTCAAGCTGCTACTCCACAAAAGGCTTCGGCATCGTTTTTGAAGATTGGGAGTAATGGCGCATCACTTCAATGATATCGCACCCACTTTTCGGATCAAACACTTCGAAAACAGTTCTTGCGAGCATTTGACAAATTCTTGCGAACTAGTTTGATATAGCTGAGGTCACCGGTTATCCTTATCAGGGCCTCAATTTCGACCAAACAACTTGAGAACGACCTTCCTCTCTGCCGTTGAATGAGGTTCGCGTGGAATGAAGAGCATTGCCAGTCATCCAGTTTTGATGTCACATGTCTATGTGAGGCTTCTGGAGTGGATAGCTGAATAAAGTTTTAAAGTGGTTGTTCCATCGATTGATGCGAACTACGAAAAACAGTACAATCTCAGCACTGGTGATACTCAAAAATTCGCTTGTCATATTTGAACCGCGCCGAATTCCAGTTGTGACGAATCCTAACGTTGGCCGCCAAAGAAAGTGCAAGTCAGTCGTACCTTCAATGGGAGCATCAGGGGCTATCTCCGTATGCCGGATTGTAGGTGCGCTGGTCCATTCGTTTTCTGCGGTTCCTCTTGTGGAGAAGAATTTTGTAAGGCAAATCGTGCAGGGTGAACTAAAGCCACGACTATCTTGATTTCACAGTATCGCATGTTTTAGCACTGGCTGTTAAGATGGGATCCCGTACATTCTTTTGGAATGCCCAAAGCACTTCTGTATTGTGGAATTTCGAACAATAGGTACATTTCTGGGGGGGAACATAGATTTCTTCGCATATTTGATACACTTTTGAGCGAACATTAACATGGTTTGTGCCATGGATATTATTTATCTCAGCCCCATGCATTGGTCTACTGTCGATTAACAAGTTGCCCTCTTATGCTAACCAGCATATAATCAATCTGATTGGCCATCCTGTCGTCGCTAGAGTCCAAAGTTGACTGATGTTTTGGCTGGAGCTGGAGCACGTGTTCGTCGCGACACAAATAGCTTGTTTTTTTTGGCAAAATGCAGTAGCCTATTGCCACCGTGTGCCGAGTCCAGTGCAGCTCAAGACATGTCTCTTCGTGTTGTGGTCATGTAAGCCGGCGTTCACATTCCATCCACCCGCTGCCATGATCAAGTCACGTTTGAAGATGTTGCCAACAACAGATTTTAGACAGGTGTTAAACTCATGGTTCACAACATCGTCTGCGTTAAGACCTGAGCCTGTAGGCGACAGTGATGAACAGACTAAATGCAGTATCCATTTTCCGGGATCCAAAGCCACGCTCTATCGTACGGTAAAATCGTGCATAAGAACAAATTTTATGAGCTGACAATAGCGATGTGTCGATGCCCCTGGCTTTTCTTTCGCAATGACCAATCACAGAACGGTTCGAATTTCTGCCTTCCATGAAAGGGACGTCTCATGCGGTAACTGTTCGTGGTGCTTATTAGCTGACGACGTGTTCGACCATTGCATAAAACTCACTTTGATGACTTGTGAACGAACACTCGACTTCCTGACAAGACACTCGGGCCATATCATTCGACGGGCGCGAAGACGGCGAAGAATTCAGGAGCCGCGCTACATGCGCCGTGCAAACACTCTGCAGCACTGGAAGTTCAATGTTTTGGTCGCAAGACAACACCGGAAGCGCAGCCAAACGGGCGGCAGACGAGTCTCGGGATGAGTTCGTGCCGAATCGAATCTCGACACTTCCTCGCAGCGATTAAACTGTAGATGAGTTAGCCGATGTGCATGCGACGCTGAAACGAGTCGCATTGAGGTGCGCCAGATAACCGGTATTTTTGAGCACCAGCGATGTGCTGAGGCAATTCCGTTCAGTGAACCACCGACTAAACTTCCAGTTTCGTTTCTGATGCATGTTACACCTAGCCGCAACATTGGCCATGCCGGACGCCGCTGATCTGCCGCCTGAAGTAGCGGCAGTTTCCGCCGAGCCGAACACGACGAACGATTCGAAGGACAGTGGTGACGAAGACGAGGAGAAGAATCTAAATGCAGGCGAGATTTTTTGGAGCAACCTGCAACCAGTGGACGTCGATCGCACAGGAACCTTCCTGTTAAACGATAAGGTAAGTCGATGCCCATTCGCTTATCGACTCGGAATGACGCTTCAGCGGCGTCATGCACGTTCATAAGGTTTGAGGTCGCAATCTCGATGACATCCGTGACCTCTAACAACAACTGCTCGAATATTTCCAAAAATTTCAACTTCAAAACACTAAGCACTGATGCAAGATTGAGGTTAATGATGAACTCAGACCATGTATGTGAAATGTTAGAAAAATCCCTCTGTATTGTACGCGATAACGCGCTAAGGATGAGCAGGCTTCATACTCAACTGAGGGATACTGGCAAGCCAATCGAAACCCGACCCTTCGAACTACTGTGCTATGCACTATGTTTTGAAACTTATATTGAATTCGTACATTTTTTAGCATTAAGCCCTATTAGCAACTTCACATTTGGATGACACCCGTGTCTGTAACTTCCGTTTGACTCAACTTCAGAGACGAGCTTCGTCAAGTCTGTGTCTAGCGATCTTAAAGAAAGTATGAAGGGAGGTCGTGAAATTTGTCGGAATGAAAATTGAGCGCGTTGGCGTGACTCGTTTTCGTCAATTCTCATATTCACGCATTTGTACTATTCTCATACCAAAATGCTAATGGTTGGTTTCTGAATATTTTTAATTTAATGTTAAAAATCAAAATTCGACAAATTCTTTACGAGATTACCCCGCATATAACGTTAATTAAATGCAAGTTCGCCAGCGCTTCGAATTATGCTCAATCCGTTTTCAGGAAGCGACATATCATAGTGTTTGTCGGTATATTTAGGTACAGACTTCACTACACGGGTTTTAGCCTCAAGGATGGAAGTTACTTCGTAACTTCGTTCCAGAGCGAGCTTAGTTTCATACAGGCGTCGTTATTCATGCATTGACTTGATTGTATTATCCATGCTTCTTTAAGCTTCCCGCGTAGAAAGTTAATGAAATATTGGCCATCTGTGGAAACGATACGTAGACAGTCACATTAACACCTTTTATCGGCAAGAAATCATATTCACAATTGAATTGGAGTTGAACATCTCGATGCCTTTTCTGGACAGAATAACCTCGAAAAAGGTGAAAAAGTAGGTTGCAGAGGTTTCTCGCAAGTCAGCATATACCGAACAAATTTCTGCTGTTCGACTTGAACCACGCATTGCCTGAAGAAGCCTATCGCCGGCAGTAGTCAGCAGATGCTCTGAGTTGAGCTCAGCGAAACTGATATCCAAAATGAACTAGCATACATCCGAAAAGATCTCAGAAACAGTGGCTACCCTGTGGGACTGAAGGAGGAAACAATCAGCAGTCAGCAAAGG